AATGTCAATAATTGTTGATAATATCATAGAAATAATAACAGTAGAAATAATAAACAAGAATGATAAAAACATTTTGAGAAGTTGTGTATATCGATCTCCAGGATCAAATATAGAGATATTCACTGATAAAATCATACAACTATTGGACAAGAGTTTTAATAAAAGCATTTTTTTTCTGTGGAGACTTTAATATTGACCTGGGAAATAAAACAGATTCAAATAACATCAGTACATTTACAAATTCATTGTATAGTTTAAATCTTTATCCGTTAATATCAAAACCAACAAGAATTACAACTCACAGTGCTACAATAATCGATAATATTTTCACAAATGTAACAAATGGGGATGTGATGGGAGGTATTTTAACGAATGATTTGAGTGATCATTTACCAGTTTTCACTATTTATAAAAAAGATCAAAGCATTACAAAATAAACTACAATTAAGAAAAAAACAATAAACACATCAAAAAAAGCAATGGACAAATTAAAAGATGATTTACATAAACAAAGTTGGAAAGACGTGTATGTTGATGATGTGAACAGATCATATGATGAGTTTATGAATATTTTAGGAGCTCTGTATGAAAAGAATTGTGTGCAAAATAATTGTACAAAGAGAAATGTTGTTGACCAACCATGGATGACGAAAGGTTTGAGAAATGCTTGTAAAAAAAAGAATTGTTTGTATACATGTTTCTTGAAATTGAAAACACAAGAGGCTGAAGATAAATATAAGAAGTATAAAAATAAATTAGATGGGATTATAAGGAAACACAAGAAGGAATATTATAGTGATTTATTAAATAAAAGTAATGATGATATGAAAGCTACATGGCGAGTAATAAATAGTGTTCTGAAAAGTCACAAAGCAAAAACAGGTATTTCACAATATTTTTGAAGGATGACAATGAAATCCATGATGAAAATGAAATTGTAAATGGATTTAATCATCATTTTGTGAACGTTGGATCAAGCCTTGCAGCTAAAATACCAAAATTAGACAATAATGTGAACCATTCAGTTATAAGTTGTGACAACAGTATTTTTCTTAATGGAACTGACAAAGAAGAAATAATGAATGTTGTAAAAAATGTTACAGATAAGAGATCAAAAGACTGGGTGGACATGGATATGATGTTTGTAAAGGACATAATGAGTTATGTTATCAAGCCGTTTACATATATTTGTAATTTATCATTTTCAAAAGGAATATTTCCAGACAATATGAAAGTAGCTAAGGTAGTTCCTCTCTTTAAAAATGGTGATAAATGTGTGTTCAATAATTATAGACCAATATCCTTATTACCACAGTTCTCAAAAATTCTGGAAAAACTGTTTGTGACCAGATTAGATAAATTTATTACTAAACAAAACATTCTAAGTAACAGTCAGTATGGGTTTAGAGCAAAAAACTCTACATCAATGGCTCTCATGGAAATAATAGAACAAATAACTACTGCTGTCGATCAAAAACAGTATTGTGTTAGTATTTTTGTTGATTTAAAAAAAGCATTTGATACTATTGACCACACTATTCTCCTTAAAAAATTAAATAAATATGGTATAAGAGGACCAGCATTACACTGGGTATCTAGCTATTTAAAAGATAGGAAACAGTTTGTACAAATACTGTAAATGGTGTAAGATCTGACCTCTGCAATATCACGTGTGGAGTTCCTCAAGGCTCTGTACTTGGACCAAAGTTATTTATTTTATATGTGAATGACTTAGTGAATGTATCAGGACTCCTCAAATTTGTCTTTTTTGCAGATGACACTACATTTTTCTGTTTGGGTAAAGATGTAAAACGGATGTTGGAATTGATGGACAGAATTTGATAAAATACAAACTTGGTTTAAACTTAATAAATTATCATAAAATTTAGATAAAACTAAATACATGATATTTAGTAACAAAACGAGAACTGTTGATGATCCATTTAAAATCGAGGGTGTTGAGATTTGTAGAGTTAATGAGATGAAATTTTTGGGCGTAATCATTGATGAACAGCCAACATGGAAAAATCACATAAATTCTGTAAGAACAAAAATATCTAAATCTATTGCAGTACTATACAAAGTCAGGGAATTATTAAATCATAAAGCTCTGTACATGTTGTATAACACAATCATTGTTCCACATTTAATCTATTGCATTGATGTTTGGGGGAAAGCATGTAAAACATTTACAAAACCTATTTTTATTTTACAGAAAAGAGCTGTAAGAATTATCACCAGAAAGCATTACAGTCACCCATCAAGCACATTATTTTATCAACTGAACTTATTGAAGTTCCATGATTTGGTAGATTATAGTATTTTATCAGTTATGTATAGGGCTCAAAATAACACATTACCTTTAAATATACAAAGAAATTTTGTTAAAAGACAAAGTTGTTATAATCTTAAGGGAATAGAGATATTTGTCAAACCACAATTCAGAACTAGTCTGAAGGGAAGGTCTACCTCAATCCAAGGAGTTGGATTGTGGAATGGTCTAGAGAATGATGTGAAAAATGTCAAGTCAATGTGTACATTTAAGAAAAAGATCAAAACTGAATTGTTAAAAAATAAATAAAAAGTAGCTTAATGTGTTTTTTGTATTAGAATTAGAAAAATTAGAAAGTTATTCATTTTGTTCTGTTACTTGAAAATTATTGTGATTGAACTAATTGTGTGAAAAAAAGGGGCAGATATAATAAGATTTTTTTTCTTCCTCTGCTGCCTTTCATTTTAAATCTCTTGTATTTTTTTATATTGTTATGAAATTGTTTTGTATTTTTTAAAATGAATAAACTTTATACCATACCATACCATACCTGCTGAAGTTGGTCGTATTGGGATATAGTCTCCATTGGGGCGGCTGTGGCTGAGTGGTTAGAGCAGCCATCCTCCAATGCAAGAGTTGGGGGTTCGAATCCACCAGCAGTCACATGTCAAAGTGTCCCTGGGCAAGACACTGAACCCCTCATAGCCTCTGATGTGTGTCCCATCAGTGTTTGAATGTGATCTAAAGCTCTGATTAGTCTCCTTAGAATGATTTGTTCAATTATCTTTGTAGAGATCTAGTATAGAGCTGTATGAATGGGTAAATGAGGCACAGATTGTAGTGTAAAGTGCTTTGAGTGTCTTGATCAGACAGAAAGGTGCTATATAAGTACAGTCCATTTACCATTTACCATTCATAAACTTTCTCTTGTCCTGCCCTTAACTTCTGATCCTCTAATAATTATTTAATGAAACCTTATACAGCCCTGTGATGGACTTGCGACCCGTCCAGGGTGTACCCCGCCCCTCGCACAGTGATTGCTGGACATGGGCACCAGCGACCCCCGTGACCCAAAATGGAATAAACGGGTAAAGATAATGGTTGGTTGGTTGGTTGAAACCTTATACAAATATGTGTCATCACTAGACTGAGTGTCGCATACAGCTTTCATCACTCCATCTTCATTCATTTATTCAACCTTTATTTATACAGGTTAGTTCCACTGATCCTCGGGGACTCATTTACAAGAGAGACCTGATTCAAGGTCACTAATCAAGGTGAAATGATAAGCAAGGTCTTTGCTTGTCCAATCATTGATACAGATTGCTGTATAATAGTTTGTTAATGGGTGTATATTGTGCCGTATGCTGTACTCTTTTTATTTTTATAGCAAAAACAGGACGAGGAAGCTCCTTCGTCTGTGCTTATTGGAGACAAACTTGCTAAACTATAACATTTAACCTCACTAATTAAAAAGCTTCTATACAATCCCATGGAGCTTTGCAGTCACCATCATGAAACTGATGCTGCTATGACACGGTTCAAGTCAAACATACATGACAGTAACGATCATGACGTGTGTTTTGTTCAGCGTATTTAAAACACGTGATAGTAGTTGACTGGCTCTGAACCTTTGACTGCTCAGATGTTCACTGGCCCACTTCAATGACTCTTACAGCAGAAAAATAGTAATAAGATAAACAGGCTTTTAACAAGCAGCCATTAAAGCTTTACTTTTTTTCTGTTGCTGTTCGGGGTTTTGAGGTAAAATTCTTTTCAAGCTAATTTTAGAAATAATCTAAAAGGGTCTTTTGTATGTCCATTTTATTCACCTGCTCAATTTTTTAAAATCAAGATTTACAGTAAATTTATTCAGAAAGTGTCTCAAAACCGTTCACTTGACTTTCACGCTATCAGTTTCAAAATATGATTTTACAGAGTTAGACTGTTTTACTAGAATCAAATCTGAATTATGCAGTATGTGCTCCAAAAATCACCCGTTACATTACTTTAATGTCATGCTTTGTTTGCTGTAATAAATTATCTTTGTTCTAAAAAGCAGATTTGCCAGATTTCAAGTTCAAGTATCTTTATTGTCATTTACATCACATGTGGTACATGAGGTGGAACGAAACTGTGTACTCAGGGTCCCAGTTACACCCAAAAATAGCAAAAAAAATATATATAAAAAGAAACAGTATATAAGGATCTAAGATACACTAAGACATATGCTAAACAAATGCTAAACAGTACGTTAAACAATACGCTAAAAAGTCTAGGATATGTACTGAACATGAATAATGTAAATATTACGGTGTATTAAGCAGCAGCCCAAACATGAGTCTGGAGTGAGTAGATGGCTATGAATGAATACAGCAACAGATTTCAGCTAGTTCCGATATTTAAAATAGTTCCTAGCTCTCTATCTTGAACCTGTGAGTCAAACAAGTTGTGTGTCAGTATCATAAGAAGCAATCATTCTTTGGTTCATACCACAGTTTAGAGTACTCAGGCCCTCAGCTAGTACAACACCAAACTTTAGCTCGGTATTTGGAAATATGACTGAGATATAGCCACTTTTGTCTGGTCATTTGACCATAGCAACCATCTTGAATCTGACTTTTTAGCAGCAGGTGATAATCTTCATTAACTGTCTTCCTAAAATAAGTCTGATCATATCAGTGTGTAGTGGCCTTAGGTAATGTGTGTGTTTGTGGTTTCTGTGCAGGCAACAACGCCAACAAGGTGTGAATGAAGAGATGTTACTCGTCTTCGTTCAGAGGAATCCCTGCCAAACACATCCAAGGGAGTGGTTTGGTTCATGGCTGCTGCTTCTAAAACGAATGGTTTTGTAACTCTTTTGGTCAGGGTTTACTGTAATGTGAAAACTTTGTCTTAAACTTTCAGGGTTTATTATTGAGTTTTGTGTTTAACTTGTTACAGCACTGGAACTTGCATATCATAAACTGAATTTAAGAAGCAGAAACAGTGAGTACTCTGTCATGTTTCTTTTATTAGATTTGACAAATCCACATTATTCATACAAAGTACAAATAACCGTATGGTTAGAGTACTGATTGTGTTTGTGATGGGATCTACTGTCGGGGGGGTGTTAAGTATTTTGGTGGTAGGGTGAGTTGATCTGTGTACCTGCTGATGTTGTACCAGTTACAAAAAGGTAGATTAATACATGTATGTCACTACCATATGGTCTTGCATGTAACAATAAAGGTTCTAAAATGACTGAGTGAAAAGAGTACAAGTTATTAGACATCTGTCATTTCAATACTACTTTCTTTCAAGAGTCCTCTATACATCTTTTC